GGCCCTCAGCAGGAGTATCTGCCCCATTGCTTCCTCTATTTGAGGTTTGCTGCGCCTGCTTCTGCCTGTGCTGCTGCTGCTGCTGCTACTCTCCTTGAGGGGCCGCCGACGTCGGTTTCTTTCCAGTTGCTGCCAAACGGGTCTGCTGCAGTGTACAGCGCCTGCGCTGCTGTGACTGCAGCAGGAGCTGCAGCCTGTGCTGCTGCTGTTGAAGCAGCAACTGCTGCAGACCACCAATTGCTGCAGCTTGCTGCTTCGAGGTTCTTGAGACACTTAGGAGCCCCTGGCTCCCCTGAGCTAGCCTTTGAGTGCCAGCAGTTTGTGTGCTGCTGCTTGAAGAAACAGCAACAGCAGGCACTTAATTGCTGAAGAGCAGGATCGGCAAAGGTTTGCTGCTGCTGCTGCTGCTGCTGCTAAGACTTGAGGCAGCGAGTGGCGGCGCTCATGTCTGCGGGCTTCAGGCAGGTCTACGCCGCAGCAAGCAACTTAAAGACCTTCTTTAGTTTGCATTAATTAGAGGATTTGTCTTTAATTTTGTCTCATTTCTTTAGTGCTTCCTGCAGAAACCGATGAGCCCGTGGGGCCCCCGTCGGCAGCGTCGTGCACTGGGGGCCCATGAGCTGGGGCATTGAGGCGCTGCTGCTGCTGATTTGTTCGTTTGTCTTTGGATTCTTAAAAGCAGCAATTTTTATTTTCATTTCAAAGGCAAATAACGCGGACAGGGGGTCTTCTGCTGCTGCCCTGCAGAGGGTCTCTCGGGCGCTGTCTTGGTCTATGGCTCCAGCCGCTGCTCCCCACAGCTGCCAAACCCTGAACCCTAAACCCTAAACCCTAGCGCCGAACCTGGGCCCTGCGAAAGGAGAATCCATGGGGAAACGGTAGGGGGCTCTCCAGTCTGTTGCGGGCCGCAAGGCCTTCCGTAGCAGCAGCTGCAGCAGCCCCGGCCCACCAGCTGCGGCTGCTTCTGCAGCAGCTGCTGCACCCACAGCAGCAGCTACCACGACGCTCGGAGAACCTGCGGCAGCGCAGCGAGCACCGACGGCGCAGGACCTGGGCTGTGTGCTGCCGTTGCAGCAACAGCAACAATGCTGGAGGAGACAGAGCCGCTGCTTGAGCACAGCGACGTTGCTGCAGCAGATGACGACTCCGACGCTGCTGCTGCGTCGGACGCCGTTGCTGCAGCAGCAGCAGCGGCCGCAGCAGAGGAGGAGTTCGCGGCGGACTCCGCAGCGGGCGCCACCCACGAGTCCGCCGCCGCCGCCGCAGCAGCAGCAGCAGCAGCCCCAGCAACAGCAGCAGCAGCAGCAGTAGCAGCGCCGTGCCGACGCCGCTTCTGGCCCTCCTGGTCCTCACTCACGTTCGGGTTTGCTGCTTGCCTCCTCGAGGGGGGCCCCTCAGGGTCTGGGAGGGCCCCCCAAACCCTAGAGGAGTTGCGAGCTGCTGCTTCGCGGCTGCCGCAGCTGGAGACTCCCCGCAGCACGCAGCAGGTGACGAAGTCCATCAGCAGCAGCCTGCTGGCCTCCGCAGCAGCGGCCGCTGCAGCCGGGCCCAGCAGCAG